GACCTGGGTACCTAACTAACAAACCTAAACACCCAAGGATTCTACATCAACCCTAACACCACTTGTCAAACAATTCCATTTCAAGTAGGACATTCTTTATAATAGAAATTCCCTTGGATAAAAACATCCAACCAACACAATCTTACTAGGAGTACACTACCTACTCCTATAAAAGCAGAACCTTTGGCCATTATTCAGGTACGTTTTTCTCATTGTTCTTCAGCATATAGCCTCACGCATATATTTCCCTTTCTGACTTAAGCATCGGAGGGGCGACGAGAACACACCTCGTTGCCTTTGTTTCAGGTATCGGAAGATCACGTTCGTGCTCATCATCAGTCATCAAGCTCGGAAAATCTACAGGTACGATTTTTGGTAGCATCAATAATGATATAAAAGCGTTATTTTTCCAATCTTTGTAAAATCCAAAGAATTACAATTAAATGTTGGTGCAGCTTTTATATTTATATATTTTAATGTGAAGTCGAAGGAACATAGTGGGTAATAGTTTCCCGCCTCTCGTTATCCTGTCTTAAAATACATAGTTGAGAATCTATCTATAGTTATTGGACTTTATTCGTGTTCAACTGATTAAACTCATAACATTAATACACTTTTTTTTTAATTCAGAAAAATAAAAAATATGTCATGTTCACTGACATGTCAATCAATTTAAAGGTTGAATTATCTTATTAGTTGACCGACCACAGAAAATGAACACACTTTTTGATTACTTTTAGACTATGTTAGTGGCTTTTGTGTTTTGTCAATGGCCACCATATAATTAGGGGACGTTGGAAAGAGATTTTTCATCCCAAAAAATTAATTTTTTAACCGTTATTTTACTATTTCAATTGTAAAGTTTCACTTGTTCTCTTACAGGTGATTTTTTCTTTTTTCCTAACGGTCAAAAAATCAATTTTCAAAATATCTCCCAAACGGGACCTTAAATATGGGTGTCTCTTTGATTTTGCGTTATTTGCTTCAATCAAATTCGGATAGAAAACATGGAAGTGGTCACAAGATGTTTAATATAACTAAATTGAAAACAAGTTTGAAGACTTTAACGAATTGTGGGATGCATCGTCCTACCACTATCACAACACAATCGATCTTTTAATTTCTTTTGATTCGAACGATTACCAAAGAATTAAACATCAAATACTCGTTTATTAAAACATTTACTAATTTTTAATAGTCCAAATCAAAAATAATACAACTCTCTTTGTGACTACTAATAAGATAACCTAATCAACCATCATAACTGAAATCGAATTTCTAGTCCTCAAACTCTCAATAAAATATAAACTAGACTGGAACATATAATTAAAAAAGCAAAAATAATAATAATGGGGAAGCGAGCCCTTATCACTTCCTGAGATTTCGGCATAAGTAAGGCAATTTCAACACCTGCCCCGAAAACAATGACGGCCCTTGTCTCGCTCATGCTATATAATGTTGTCAATGATGACTGTATCTGATACATGATATTCAACATGTTAAATTGACTAGAGAAAATTAAAATTCAACAAATTTATAAGTCAATACAACTTAACTTATAGAATATATCGTAAATATGTCTCGATCATTACATTAAAAATAATGCTACTTTAACAGAAAAATCAAACTAGATGCAGTGATAAAAGATATAGTGACGGGAGTTGATTGAATATGACAACTAATTGTGTTTAAAATAGTTCATTGATGAAATGTCATGTAATATTTTATCAACCATTATGTCAAAAACAATTTCCCGTAGCATGATTGTTACATTAAAGGGGCAACAAGTGGATAAAAATGAGTCCCTTGTTTGAGTCCCATTTTTTCGAAAAACTTATTTTTTTTAAATTCATTTTCAATTATACATTTTTCAATAAAATAACTTTAATTCTTGATTATTTTTAAATGTGGGTTCTCCAGAAAAAAACGATTTTTCAATAACACATTTTTCCCCAAAATGGGGTCAAACAAGGGCAAGATAATATTATGAATTTACGATTAGTTGTGTGAAAATAATTAATTAATTTAGAGATATTTTTGGACCGTACTGTTTCCAATGGTCAACCCCAATTCATTTTTGTGTCCAAGCTCCACGGGTATTTCACGTGAAGTTCATGCTCCAAATACTTTATTGCTTTGTTTCTTTGTGGGCTTTTAAATGCTGATTTTGGAGTCAAGATTGGCATATTCTGGTTTAGCTTCTTGATCCAGATTCTCGTCTTTATAAGATACTATTTGCGAGTGTTCTGATAATTTTAAACAAGGATAAGTATGAAGACAAGTGAAAAGGACTTGATAGACAGCGAACGAACTGTTGTGCTTCAATCTTGATAAGATGACTTGAAATTATACAGAACCTGTTTGGAGGTGATTTTGAAAATTGATTTTTTGACCGTTAAGAGAAAATTGTGGTCCATCTGTGAGAGAAGAAGTAAAATATGAAGGCTAAATTAGTGAAATAACAGTCAAAAAATCAATTTTTTTGGACAAAAAAATCACTCCCAAATAGGCTATATATTTAGAGCCTTTCTCCTTTTGTTAGAAAATTGGATTCTAAAGATGGAAATTTTGGAATTTGGGACGTAATTAAATTACACAAAAGATGTAGAAAAAGAGATCGATCCATTACTGATCGTGCATGTTTGCACCTATTTTCAATTTGATGACAAAGTCAAGCTTATTATCCAATTTTCAGCAGACTTTTCAAAGGTTTCAACGCTATATAATTTATGGATATGAAATGTATGAATAAAAAATGTATTTTTGATGAAGTTATTAAGAAAAAGAAATACCTGCCAAACATTTTCTCATAATAAAATTATGATCTTACTATATGTACATCAATGTTTACATATTAACTTAAATAATGTCATATGACACTTTATCATTGAACAATTTAAAATACAGTTAACTTTTTCATCAATTCATTTCTTTTTAACTCATCTTCTGACACTGTTTCTAGACCGTCTTTCTATAAAAATAGCATAATTGATAAACTTAAATAGGATATTTGATAGCTCTACTGTGGTCGGTGATTCAAGAAGAAGCATCTTTTACAAAGCTATGGTTAACATTGAACCACCGGGAAATTAATTAACTTCAGACAACCATGGTGTAGGGAAGTAAGTCAGATTCTTAATAAGTAGAGTGACCTTATTAATGTGCCGAATTAATTGTGTGGTGGCCACTAACTTTGTGTATAAAGACTAGAATAGATAATGGCATACTCTAAACCAATTCGGAATAAATTAATTATCTAATATATTCTTAGTCGAATTTCAATCTGTACAAACTAAAATTTAAGAAAAGGATCAGAAAATTATGGCTGTGCTGTGATGTCCTAAATATTAATTTTTTAAGAACTTGACCAACTCGAATTTGATTCAGTATGGTACAAGAGCAATAAGAAGTCATGAAGTCATATCTCAATCTCGTCTTTATATATTTATCTATATTAAAATGATTAGATGGTGGCTCAGAAACGAGAAGGACAAAAGTCTTGGAAGTAGATGCCCTGCTTAAATTTTCTGAGAAGAAAAAAATAACATCCCAACTTTGTACTGATAGCATTACTCGGAAGAAAATTGCATTATTTTTAACATAAACATGCAGCCAAAATCTAGTGTTGCGTGCAGATTAATCTGTGCTGTAAATGCATTTGTTACTGTAATCAGAGTTCCGATCAGTTTCCAGAAATAAAGGGGAAAAAATGAAACAGAAACCAGCTGAGATCAAAGTATAGCTACACGCCAAGAACTTCAAGCAGATTTCTTTATAAAATACCCACAAAATTTTTTATTTTATAAAAGTCGAAATTGAAAACTTAGGAGAGTCTGGGGACATTTATCTACCATATCCATCTGGCATATTACTCATACTCAGAAAATAAGTGCTCATATATATATATATATATATATATATATGCACATACATTATTATTTTGTACTACATACTTTGATTTCTTAAGTCACCTGAGCTTATGAATGTCCCGTGAAAACCATATGGCACTCTTGATGGAAGCTTAATACTGGCTTCCAATTTCAAACTCCTAGCATTTATTATCTTAAGTTCAGATTTCCATGTCTTTTCATCATGGACTAATGCAAGAATATACCCAGCATCTTCTTCTCCATCAAAATTTGAATCATTCGGCAAGAAAAATGGTTCACCTCCATATTTTTCGTCTCCGTACATGAATTTCTGAACTTGTCCGGATGAGAGGTCGACTTTAGCAAAGCCTGAAACTTTAGGCCATGGCTCAGCAATTGCAAGATAGGCATACCTTGTTTTTCGACCAAGCCTGTTCCTGTTCACCATTCCGGCTTCTAAATTGATTTGCTCTGATGCATGAATAATAGGCAGCCTTTTCGATTCACCAGTCTTCAGATTCAGCCTAATTTCTATTAAAACAATCTTTAGTTTTTCATTGCATTCGTTGAAAATCAAGTCCGGTGGAGTCATGCATGAGCCGATCACCACGACTTCATTAGTCTCCGGCTCCTCCCAAGCATTCCACAAGTGAAAGCAAAAGGTATCCGGGCAATCAACCCAAATAATATTGTTCGCATTTTCAGCTGTCTTTGATAAAATCCCAAACCTAGATTTCTTGTTTTTTTCATAAATCACTGGAGAGCCACCTTTTATCATTTCTTGAAGCTTGAAAACCACTTGCTGGTCGGGAATCACCACGTAATTCTCGGTGATCGCGAAATCGTGAACCATAGTCGGCACGTCCAACGGTATCTCAATGTCCGGTGACTTTTTTCCGTCGGCGGAGAATTTGAAGTACCTCAGGTATGGTTTTTTAACAACATCGTAGCTTAAAGCAAAGAGCTCACGAGAAAAAGGATCAATCTTTGGGTGAGCAATCATTGTCGTCCTCAATTGCTCATCAAAATCATAGCGGCTTATGGTTTCAAGATCACCAGAGGGCTTGATCCTCACTTGATAGGGAAGATCATCTTCAGACATGGCTAATAGTCTTTGATTGAAGTAGACCAGTCCCGCATTGGCTACTCCGGTCCCATGGCTGTGATCAACAAGCCCAAATAAGCCACGTGCATAGAAAAGAAGGAGCCGGACTATACCAGAGTGCCCGTGGAGCTCTCCAATGGCTTTTGGAAACACGGGGTGGCCTAATTCACGTTCTTGAACAAGCCTTTTAGTCTCGGTAAAGCGGCAAGCATAGCTCGCGAAGTTGCCACTATTGATCGTCACTGCATGTATCATCCCATCGCCGTCGAAGAGATGGTGGCCGGCGACAGGTTCGAATAGAGGGTTGGCACCATTTCTCAAGTAAACACCATTAATGCAGTCGGGAATAGTGCCTGTCACAGGAAGATTGTGCCTGACGGCGGTCTCCAGTACCGGAGCGAAATTTCCGGTGATTTTGACACGAGGATCAGTAGCTTTAGGGAGTGATATCCGCTGCTCTCTTGAGACCAACGCAATTTCCATCGCGTCCAACGCCTTGGCTGCGGCTTTCTGTAGAATGTTCCACTTTGGTAGTGGCAGCGGCAGAGCCGTGGGCGGAGAAGACTTCGCCGGTGAGTCCTTTTCGGTGATTGTTTGTATTTCAAAGGGGCCTTTTGGAAAAGTGATCACAGAAGGTGAGTGTAGAGCAGAGTGAATTTTGTCTCTTGTTCTGGGCTTCCTGATGGAGATGGACTGGGGATGCGCCATAGAAGAAGCAGCCATGTGTTTTTGTTCTTAAATCAGAATAATACTTTTTCAGTTTTTGTCTTAGCAGAGAAAACTTAAGAGAGAGAGAAACGAAAATGAGAAGTGGATTTTGGGAGGGGGAGACGAATAGGGTGGAAATAGAGATAATGAGTGCATGGAGGTCCACCTTAAACTTGTAGGAGGAGACCACGTGGTGCATTTGTGTGAAGTGTATAAACATGACAGTGGGTTCAGGAAATTTTTTTTTTATTTGTGTCATATTATTCTAACGGAGATTGTGTGGTTGAAAATTAGTATTGTTAAAAAAAATAATGTGATAAAATGGTTAACAAACAAAGGCTCACTATGAAAGACTGCGCCTGATAATTAGAGGTGTCAAAACGTATTTGAGCGTTCAAGTTTAGATAAATTGGCATGATATATATTTGATGTAAAAGAAAATAATCGTGACATTATACATGTACAAGTTAGATGGATATGAAGATTGTCATTAAATAGAAGTATCAAAATGTGTTTGTCCAAGTTTAAATGATCTTGCATGTCATGTGATATAACAAGAGAACACATGTGACATGACACATTTATAAGCTGTCCATATGAAGTACCCTAATTCGGACAAATGTGTTAAAATGTATAGAGTGTTCTAGTTTAAATAATTCCAAAATGACATGTGATGTAAAAAGAAGATATATATGACATGATACATGTATAATTGGTCGCTATGAAAAATCATGAAAGGTATCAAAAATGTATTGAGTATTCAGGTTTGGATGGTTGATGATGTAAATAATATGGTCCAAGTATGCACCTGTTCAAAAATTATGCTAAAAATGTAAAAGTACCCACATTCTAGAATGTGCTGAACCTGCACAAATTTATACGTGTCGATTGTAAACACACTCACCCCGAAGAATAGAAATGTGAGAAGCTACCACCAACTCAAGTTGTGTCAAACTAACATGAAATAGTCACACTTCTAGGTGGGACGAGATTTGTAGAATTAGAAGTTTGACATGAAAAATTATGAGAATCAAAGTTAGAGAGCATACTTGTACCCACTAGGGTTGCACATGGTCTGATTCGGTTCGATTCTAACGAGAACCAAATCGATCCGAAATTTTCGGGTATTTAGTAAGTGAAACCGTCGTGTCCAAATTTAATTACAGAACCGTTCGGATTCGATTCCATTCGGTTCAGTTCGATCCTATTTTGTTCCATTCGATTCCGTATTATAATTAAATTTTTTAATATATACAAAGTTACGTTAATTTAATTAATGATATGTTCAATATTAGCTCTTACAAAATAACGTAATTCAATCTTATGTGTTTTACGTCACTCTTTGCTGAATTCTTCATAAATTTGATTATTAAAATCACAGAAAAAAAAAAGATAGCGAGCTCAAAATAATTAAGAGAGATGTTGTAGAGTTTTAATTCAATTTTCTCCGATAGAAACGACACTACAGTAGAATAATAAATTTGGATAAAATTGAGGTCAATTTGATTAAGTTGATTTTGAACTGAAAATTAGAAATAGGAAAATCATATTTTGTGGTTTGAACTAAATTAACTAGTTAACAAATTTATTTAGAAAAAATAAAATAATTTTACTTATTTAAAATAAATTAATTAAAAAATTACGAAGTTTCGGTTCTTCGGTTCTTGGCCTAGAACCGAGAAACGAACCATACCCGTCGGTTCTTGATTCAAATACCCGTTCGGATAATTAACTTGAGAAGAACCGTCAGATTTGATTCAGTTCGGTTCGGGTTCGATTCGATTTGAGAGTTTTATCCAACCCTAGTACCCACATAAAAATGAAATTGAATATACAGGTGCTATGCCCTCAAGATTTAGAGGTGTAGGTTACGTAGAGTAGTACAAAAATTAAAATTTTAACTTTTTTTTCTTAATATGTTTGATTTGAAATCCCAAGCTTTGTTTTGATCTATTTCATTTCCTCCATTCTTTTATCTTTTCATAAACAATGGGCATAAACAAGCAGATCATCCGATCACTTCACTTCCTTATGTCACGCATGAATCGAATATTCTAATTTCGTAACGTTTGAATTGAATTTCTTTTGAACTAGAACCTTCTTGTATCTCCTCGTTCTCTTCAGCTAATATCATCATTGATGACGAAATCAAGTTAAAATATATTATACTTTTTAAAATAAACATTTTATATTCATTGGAAAATAAAAACTAGCACAAGGGGAGAACATCACATCACACACGTGGCGTGCACTTATCTGAACCCTGTATGTTGTCGATGTGATGCGGAGTTTAACACTTACTTGATTCGTTTTAAAATTTTAGTACACTTTTTTTTAATCATATATTTTTCAATAAAATAATATTATATGTAAATCAAAAATATTTTCTTAATTACACATTCTTCCAAAAACGGCCATTCCGAAATACATTTTACCCAAATATCTCATTATAATGATTGTCAAATAAGGGCTTAAATACACATGGTGTGTACTTATCTGAACCCTGTAATCAGTTATCACTAATATAGGATAAACTTGCCTTTGGAGAAGAAAGAAAGAGAAAACCATGCGAATCGAAGAAAAAAATGGTCCGAACCTACTCTGTTAGAGTTGGTGACTCAAATTGGAAAGGAAATGTTGAAGATGCGTGATGGATTTGGAGAATCAAATAGTATCCGGAAAATAAGGAAACAAAGTCCTTGTCACGTTTTTTTCCCTTTTTACGTTTAACCTAGAATTATTACCTTTTTAGACTCTTTTAGCGCTAGACTTTTGTGGTATAAATATGAGTCTCCTCTTTCAATATTGTTAAAGCCAATTGTTGTAATTCTCTCATTTCATCGATGGAATAAAATAACGTCGTTCCTCTACCAGTTTATTTCTTTACTTTAATCTTGTTCATGGTATTTTTGCGATCTTGTATTTATACTTTAAATTTGTGTCCATTGAATCTCAATTCTTGCATTTGTTTCCACCCGGTCCCAACAAATGGTATCAGAGCGGGGTTGTTGGTAGATTTCTAGCCTGAAACTGATCGAAAATTGGTTTGAAAATTACCAGAAAATCAAAAAACGAATCTGTCCTGTTTTTCGATTTTCTGTGGGATCTATTTTTATTTTTTCTGGTCAAACCAAAAAGAGTTTGGAGAAATGAACAACACCAGTGGACTCAGAAGGCAGAGACGATCTAGAAAGGCTCATAGGTCGCCAGCGCATTTTCAGCTAGTCGCCGGCGGTGGGAACTCCGGCGAGCGAGTGCGGTGGTTTCCGGCAATGGTGTCTTCAGGCTGTTTTCTCCGGACGACGAGACGGACCTTGTGATGGTGTCCAATTTCAGTTTTCGGCAAAATTGTGGTTTTGGACTATTTTGCCTCCTTACACGTTTGGAAGTTTTTCGGTTTTGGGTGTTGCAGGTTGCAAGTTCTTCGTGGTTTGATTGAGATTTTTCATAGATGGCTTCGGTGAAGTATGATATTCCGCTACTAGATCGTAATACAAGATTTTCGCTATGGCAAGTAAAGATGAGGGCTGTGTTGACGCAAATGGATCTTGATGATGCTTTGCTGGGTATTGAAAGGATGCCAGCAATTTTGTCTATGGAGAAGAGACAATGGAGGGATCGAAAGGCTGTTTCATTGATTCATCTTCACTTATCCAACAATTTGCTGTAAGATGTTTTGAAGGAGAAGACGGCAGCTACGTTGTAGCTCAAGCTGGAGCAGTTGTGCATGATGAAGAGTCTGATGAGCAAACTGACTCTAAAGCAGAAGCTGCATTCCCATCGCATTGCGGAAGGAGGGTCACTGCAGGACCATCTTGCTGTGTTCAAGGAAATCATTGCAGATTTGGAGATGTTGGAGGTAAAATATGATGAAGAGGATCTGGCCTTGATCCTGTTGTATTCGCTACCCAATTCTTTTTCGTCGTTTCGTGATACTATTTTGTATAGTCGATACACGCTGACCATTGATGAGGTATACGACGTTTTGTTCTCAAAGGAGAAGATGCAGTTGTTGGTTGGAGATCCTACATCTAGGAGTGGGGATGCTCTGCTTACTCATGGTGAACGATGGAGGGATAAGTCAAAGACGAGGCACAGCAATGTGTATTGCTTCTACTGCAGGCGAAAAGGACACTTGAAGAAAGATTGTGACAAGTTGCAGGGTAAAGGTAATTTACATGCAAATCATTTAGGGCAATCTTGTACTTTGAACGGGACTAATGTAATTGAGGATTTTTCGGATAGCGGAGAGGTCTTGTTGGCTATATCTGATGTGGAATCTAAACAAGATGAGTGGATTCTTGATTCAGTGTGTTCGCATCATATGTGTTTCGACAGGAATTTATTTAAGATATATGAGACTGTTCAGCAAGGTGGAGTTGTCATGGGAAACAACCAGTCTTGTCTGTTGCTGGGATCGGTCAAGTCAGATTGAAGCTGCAGGATGGAACTGTTAGAACACTTGACCAAGTTCAACATGTTCTAGACCTGAAAAGGAATCTTATTTCGCTAAGTGCCCTGGATGAAAAAGGCTATAAATTCTCTGGTGCAGGTAGAGTCTTAAAGGTTCGAAGGGATGGAGGAGATCCCAGTTCTACGTTTTGCGGGGAAGCGCAGAACCAGTTAAGAAGAGACATTTGGACAAGTTCAGTACCGTGGTGGACATTCAATTTGGTACAATACCTCTCGTGTTGGGCTCTGAATCAGTTCAGAACATTGCTAGGGAAAAAATTGGTGATTCTGCTTTGCCACCAAATTCAACAGTTGCACTATGTTCAAATGCCAGGGGGAGATCCATGGAGCGTAGATACAGTGTTGTCAATAATGTCTGGAATGCTTTGGAGATCATTGAAGGTGATAGTTCTGGCAAGGGACATTCTGATCAAGCACTGTGTTTGGTTTTTCCTACAGGGTGTGCTTCGACTCTATTTGGTCAACAGTAATTCCTTGGTGGAATTTTGGGAACCCGAGTTTTGGGTTCGGGTGTCGCTTGTGGATGTAGGGCGGGGGAACGTGTTATCGTAGAGAGTTTTGGTTACTGTGTTAAGGAGATTGGTTATTCTGATGCAGACGGATTATTTCTCAAGCTAGAGAAATTTTGGAGCTTCGTTCGCTACACCGAAA